GCCCTCCAAGGTTCCTTGTGCTCCGGCGGCCGCTGGGCTGGAAAGCCGGAGCCTGGGGCGGGCGCGCAGGCCAGAGGCGCTCAGGCCCCGCAGGGGTGACGAAGGCAGAGCTGGGAGCAGGGCATGCTGGGGGGCTCTGGGCGGTGGAGGCCTGAAGGGAGGGCATGTGAAGGTCAGGAACCAGATCCTGCAGGATGACCAGCCAGCTCACCTCACATAACCCGCCCTGCGTGGCCGCCGCCCTCCCTGGGGGCTTCTTTTGTCCCTGTTCCCATCGCCGCCCTGGCTCCGGCAGCCCCATCCATGGGAGGCTGTCTGGGGCCCCTGCATGGCCCCAGGACTTTGCCATCACCTGGACGCGGGCTGGCAAAGCCTGGTGAGAACAGTCCTCCGCAGCTGCCTATGAGACGGGCTCCCCGACACCCGAACTCCCCTGCACAACCCCGCAGCAGCCAACCACTTACTGATTCCTTAGAAATGCCGGGTGCCGTGGCTCACACCTGTCATCCTAGCCACTCAGGAGGCTGAGATCTGAGGATCGCGCTTCACAGCCAACGTGGGCAGGAAAGTCCATGAGACTCTTATCTCCAATGAACCACTAGAAAACTGCAAGTGGCGCTGTGGCTCAAGTGGTAGAGCGCTTGACTTGAGCTGAAGAGCTGAGGGACAGTGCCCAGGCCCAGAGTTCAGGCCCCACGACCAATCAAAAAAAGAATGCTTCTTTCTTTAATCCTTCTCCAGTGTACTGCAACTTGGACTAAAGGCCCGACAGTGCAGAGACTGTGGGAGTCCCAGCGCATCCAGGCTCCGCGGTCTCCCCCACCGCACCCCACTCCCGCCATTCTGCACGGGCTTCTGCGACAAGCGCTTCTCTCTGGGGTTCCCCTGACCTCCACATCCCTCCATCTCTGTGGAATGGAGCCTTCCTTCCTTCCCCGCTCCTGTCTCCCCTCCTGGCTGTCTCTGACAGCGGGGGGTGGGGGTGGGGTTCTGGGCACAGGCTGCACAAAAGTGCCTGCCTGCCGTGCTTGCCAAGAGCGTCTGGATGCACGCCCGCTTCCACTGTGCACAAAGGGGTGCGGGGAGCTCCAGCAGCAGCCAGGCCTGTGCTGTGCATGGATTCTTCCCCACTGCCCTCAGACCACAAGCTCTCCAGAGCTCAAGCAACACAGAGAGCTCAAGAAGAGAAAACAGCGGACGCTTAGAAAATGCCACTTATGAAGCAACATGGAGCCCTGAGGACTCTAAGCAGCTGCTGAGACCCCCGTGTAAAACCATGTGTTATGCATGTCAGGAAGTCGGAAGGATGAAGTCTAAAATACGTTTTGGGTAAATCAGCAAATCTGGTAACTTCAGTCTGATGGGGTGTGTGGGCTTTCACCAAGCTGGTGTGGCGTCTAGGAGCAGGGTGGCGGTGTGTCACTCTTTGGGGACCACAGTGCCATCAGGAGGCCACACGGCACCCTGATTCCGGGTTTCCATTTTGCCCCATGGAAAGTCCAGTGGGGACCAGGTTGGGTGTTCTTGGAAGCAAGGTTTCTGCATGTTTAGCACTGCCAGTTCTTCCCAGCAAGACAAATCCCCCCGCAGAGTCACCGCCACCCTCCTTCCCTGCCCTCTGCAGCCTTTCTACCGAGCCATACAGACAGCTGGGCCTGTAACGGACAGAGACCTCGGCCCTATGGGAAGGTTTAGGGCCAAAGAGCCTTTTCCTGGGAACAAAGCCAGCACTCACCGCCTGCTCTTTGAGGTCTGCATTCTCCCCGGTCCCTGCGTCACCACCGGCAGTTCAGCCTCCCGGTGTGGCTTCAACAGGTGCCTTGCAGGGAGCAGTCTTCAGAGCTGTTCTCTGCATGGTCTTATTGTGCACGTAGTTTTGGACTATTTTCCTTCCCTTTAAACAATAGCTTGGCATCGCCTTGCCAACCTTGCTCTGCATTACGTCCATCCCCTCTCTGCTGTTCACCTGACTGTTTGACTTCCCCCTGTCCTTGTCTCCACTCCTCTGTGTTGGCTTGAAGAATCCAGTCAGTGTTTTCTTTGGCCCCTGAGAGCCAGAAGCCAAATGGAACAGGAACAGAGAATAAATTCTGCTCTTTTCTGCTCTCTATAACTCCTGAATTTACTCTTCTAATTGCACAGAAGAAACCCGTTGCCTTTCATAAAACCTACCGCTTTAACAAAACAAAATGCTTTTGGGTAAGAGTATGAAGCTAGCCCAATTTTTTTTTGTAGGATACTCTACATCTAAATTTACAATCTATAATAGAGAATAAATAAGTGTGTCATGGCAGCATCTCAGTCTCTTATAGGTTGTTAAGAGTAACCAAGTGGCCAGGCACTGGTGCTCATGCCTGTAATCCTATTTACTTAGGAGGCTGAGATTTGAAAATCATGGTTTGAAGCCAGCCTGGGGCCTGGAAAGTCCATGAGACTCTTATCTCCAGTTAGTCATCAAAAGCCAAGTGTGCAGCTGTGGGTCATGTGGTAGAGCACTAGACCTGAGCAAAAAAAATTCTCAGGGACAGTGTCCAGGCCCCGAGTCCAAGCCCCAGGACCAGCATGTGCACGTGTGCATGCACACACACATGCATGCGTGCATGAGCACACACACGTACACACACAGAGCTATCTACACAGTATATGACAGGTTGATACTTAACTTAGAAAAGCTTTTGCTTTCAGCCAAGACATTCAATCAAACAACTGAGTCACTGTAGGGAAAAGAGTTTGTGAGATATCACAAACTCAAATACTACAACATTTAATGTTGAAGAGATGGTCATTTCTTCAAGTGCAGTGTCAACTATCCCAATCTGAAGACCTGAAGATCAGTATTTTTTTCCTGTTGTTTGGGGACAGTGAAGTTCGAGGTAGGGGGCTGAGTTCTAGCAAGTTCTATTATTGGATACTTGGACAAGTCAATTGTTCTGTCTGAGTCTTTTCTTTTTCTGAGAAAAATGATAGGTTTTGAGTAGTTCATCTCCAAGTTTCCTTCTAATACAGGATTCTGTCTCTTTCTTTCCCTCCATCCCTCTCTTCTCTCTTCCTTCCTTCCTTCCTTCCTTCCTTCCTTCCTTCCTTCCTTCCTCCCTCCCTTCCTTTCTCTCCCTCTCCCCTCTCTCTGTTGTGGGCCTTGAACTCTGGGCCTGGGCGCTTGTCCCTGAGCTCTTCAGCTCAAGGTGAGCGCTCTACCATTTGAGCCACAGTGCCATGAGTCTTTATTCTAAGGCAAAAATTTACCTTAAGATACTTCTAGTTAAAGATTTAAAAAATCCGGGATTAGAGTAAGTAAAGAAATAAACCCTTGGAGATGTACGAATTTTTCCAGGTCCTTAGTCATCATTTCAAAATAAACTTGCTGCAGAATAATTTGTTTCAGAGGTACAAATGGCTGGCCATGAGCCACGCACAAGGAGAACTCTCCTGGCACCCCACACGATCAAGATTTCCATCGCCCTCCACTCCAGCTGTGGAAGACTTTTCTGCCAGGAGAAGCAGCCAGCCTCGGCCTGGCAGCCACGGCCTCGACCCGCTGGCTTTCTACCTGGATGAGGCCCAAGTCAGAACCTGGCTTTGGACTCCACTCTCAACTCACTGCCCTCTTACACGGTGTCCAAAAGCTGAGGTCCATTCTTGGAATAGAAATTTCTCTGTTTTTCCTAAAATACCCTTCTCCTTTTTTTTTTAAAGCAGTTTCAAAGTTGTTCAGTGTTTTGCTAATATTTTAGGGAACTATGGAAAAACCTGCACAGCATAGGAAGGAAGAATGCCAACAGAGGAACAGGGTCGCCCGGGGTCACTGGTCTGACTCCAACAGTCATATGAGAACAGCAATGCCTTGCCAGGGAGGAAGGCCGGGAGTAGGTGACTGACACCCCCACACTCCAAGGGTTGATGGTGGGAGCGGCGGCGTGGGTGGTGCAGGTTGCTGAGACCCCGAGGCCTGGGTGCTGGGTATTTGTCTTGAGTTTTCCCTAGAACACTGTATTCAGGTATTGGATCAATAAAAATAATGCCCACTAGAGGGTTAACATGAGCCAGGGCTTGATTTTAAAGCTACTCACAGGGGTCATCACGCGAGGTAGTTAGGATCATGGTGAGGAACGCAGGGACTGTGTTCTTGCTCTCAGTGTGAGCTCACACCCTGAATACCCTTCGTTATAAGGATTGCTGTACACACTCAGACATTCTCGTAACACTGCACATGGAAATGGAAATTCAGTTTTGCAGGACTTCATAAGAAATGTGCAGTCACAACAATAACCTGAAACACTGAGCAGGGGTCAAAGACTTCCTCCATTTTTTAAATTTCCTTCTCCCCCTTATCCTTACAACCCAAAGGGCACAGTCGACCGCGTGAGGATGTTTGTAAATGTGAGGTGTGTTGCCATGGTATATCATAAACAACCTTAAACGATAGACCATGTCCCTTGGATGAGAAAGGACGCACAGACTATTTGATACACTTGAGTTGCCCCTGGGGTTCAGTGAAGGAAGGATGCACGTTGTTTACTGAAGGCTGTGCACCCGGACCCCAGGAGACTGTAGTGGCTCATGGTTACCCACAGCTGCATCCTTAGCAGACACAGAGGACTTTGGATTGGGACTGTCCCCAGAAGATGGACGAAATAAGTCCCATCAGGGTAATGTAATTAGGAACTTCTACCAGAGACACCGAAAAAATTCCAGTGAAGTCTGGGAAAGGACAGGGATGGTTATCAAGTTGCATTTGGATGTTTAAAAAAAAATTAGCTGGGAATGTTATTCAAATGAAGAACAAAAGTCTGCTTTCCTGATCATTTTTAAGGGTCCTGAGAAGCGTGGGAAGTAGGTAGGACTTTTACTTCTAGATTCCATGACTTTTCTGACAGTAATCACTCACAGGGAGAAAGAAGACCATCTGAGAAGGTGTGAAGGAACCTAGCACTTTAAGTTCCTTTAAAAGGAGAGCTTCCCCTGCATATGCACAGAGTGGGGACAGGCCCCGGGGCTCTTACCGTCAGGGACAGGGCCATGCAGACAAACGTGAACTTCTTGATGTGGGCCGCCGTGACCGTGTTGCTTGTGCTCGCCAGTTTATTGCTGGGGTTATTCTGGGGAAAGAAGATGGCAGTGAGGATGGGATCCAGCTTATCCTTGGCTGACCTCCCCCCAGATCGGAGTCTTGTGTGATGTGTCTGAATACAGATGTCAAGTGACCGCATAGAAGAGCACTGTCATGCTCGGTCTTTCTCAGACAGCTGTCACGCTCCTGTACGTGAATGTTAACCAGGGTAAAGTCAGGATGGATTCAATCCTTTCCTTTCGCCCTGCCCTGGGCTCCTGTGCCCCCTTCGCGGCTTGGGCAGACACTGTGCCTGCCACCACCGCGGTCTCCAGAAGGCAGTGCCTGGCTCAGTCTGGCCCCTGTGCTGCCTGATGACCCTGCAGCTGTCTTTAGGGCAGGAACTGAAGCCCGCTGCATCCACCGCCTGTCTGGGGGACTGTGCACTGCTGAGAGCGAGCACTGTGTGTCTCACTGACTGCTTTGGCTCGGGAGCACTTAACACAATATGGAGCAGAGAAGATCTTGGAAGAGCCTCTGCTGCACTGAATCGTAAGCAAATCGTGCACGTAGCGCGGCGTCCTCTGTCAGGCCACTAATCTGAGTCTTGCCGAAGTTTTCCCAGCCAAGTTCACGCCTCCCCCATCACAACAAAAACTGGGTTCTGAAGCCAGGAAAATCCTCAGAGAAGTCCTATCTCATTAGAGAGCCAATTAGTCCCAGAGCTGATAAACAAAAACTACCGTGACACCTGGCTCTACATCTGGCCTAATGGAAGATACGAGACTCTCCGGATTCTGCCAGAAAATGTGGTGGTTTGCTTTCCCTGAGGAGGCTGAGGAACCTTTGAGACCCCCAATCTTTGTGGATGCTAGCGGGGAACTTGGACGGATTGTGCATTTCTCAACTCTCATCTCCCGCAGCAAAGTTCAAAGCCCCCTGTGTTGGCGATCTATGTCTTCATGCATCCCAGAGGACGCTGCAGTGATGCCTGGGAGAATCAGGACAGGGAGAGAATCAGGTGGTCTCCCACAAACACACACTCTGCCGTGGCTCACATGGTGTGAAAGAGCAACTATTTCTCCAGCAGGGTAGAAGTGAACTTTGGTGTTTCACCAGATGAACACTGGGGTTTCATTTGCTTGCCTGATCTGTTCAGAACATTCTCTTTCATCGATGACAACCAAATTTTACAGAGATTCTGCACTCGTGGAAATCTTTCTCTGGTTATGAGAACTACCACAAGGTGCATGAGGAATTTTAAATCTCTTCTGGAAACCACAATGAAGCTAAGGACTTCAATGGTCAAGATAGTAAAGCATGCACAGTGGTGTCTACAATGCCCGAAACCAGATGGCATTTCCATTTACTAGCTTCGCATTGCTCAGTGGATGGGTGGAAACAATGGGTGAGCCGTTAGCAGGATTCCAGGCAATGCAGGGGCATGCTCATTAAGTAAGTTTTGTCATGGCTCTAACCTCTGTAATGAAGTGAAGACTATGTTTTCTTTGGGTGTTTCACCGAGGGCGTACACTGTAGCATTGTTAAGTCTTATTAGTTCAAGGTAGCCAAAGCCAATTTCAGACAAGATTTTCCCGGCCAGGGGTACACCCGCTCTGGCCTCTGTGCAGCATTATATAATCTCATTCTCCAGAGCTCCAAGTGCAAGGTAGCAAGACTGCCTTTTCTAGGCTCTACCTCTATCTGCACGTTTCTTGAAATGAAAGCAGTGACTTCTACCCACAGACTGTGTTAGACCCACTGAGCACAGACAGTCTGCTCAGCAGTTCTCCGGGAGACTCAGGCAGTCTAGTTATGGGGGTGGGGGGGCAGCGACCTCAAACCCGTCTGAGGAGATGCTGTAAGCTAAAGTGGCATCAGATGTCTGCTGCAGGTGGTGAGAGACTAGGGCAAAGTCCACACCCACCAGAGGCCAGAGCAGAGCCCGGCCCTGCCCGGCCCGGCCCACACTGGGCTGCCTGCTGGGGTCCCTGCCGTATGGAGGCAGACATGTCTGAGTCTCTGTGGGTAAGCGCAGGTGCCCGGGACATAGAGGAGGGTGATGGGAATCCGGAAGGACAGACAGCGGGGAAGGGGGTGGTGTGGAGGAATGCACGGGAATGGAGAGGGCATGGAGCGTGTGCATGCGTGTTCACACGAGCAACACACTAGCAGGGAGACTGTGCCTGCGGAACTGATGGAGAGCGGCTGGCTTCTCCAGGTTCCATCATTGGGTACACCTCATTATGGTCTGAGGTACTTGGGGGCTGCCTTGGGCTCAGGGTTTGAGGACGGAGGGTAGAGGACCAGCAGGAAAGCCATTCCACAGCGGCTGACCCCTCACCGAAGCTCCCATCTAGTGGCAGGGGGTAGTCGGGGTGTTGGCGAGTGTGTGGCCTGAGGCTGCCCAGGGCTCTTTCACCTCTGAGAAGCCACAGGGAGAGGTGTGTGGTGGGGAGCAGGAGGAAGGGGAACCGGTGCTGGCCAGATTCGAACTCAGACTGCCCGTGCTGCCGCCTGGGGACCCGCCTGCTGGGGACCCCTGGCCCAAAGCTGCCTCTCCTGGCTTCGTGGCCTATTGCTGGGAGCAGAGAAAACAGCACCACCCACTGGGATAGAGACCCAGCTCGGAATGGCACAGGGCAGGCGATTTGCTTCTTTTCCATCTTCCCATTGCCAACACTGCCCACCACTGACTGGATGTCTTGGTAGCTATTTGCTTTAGAGTAAAAATAAAAAGCTATGGATGCTCGCGAGATAGACACCGATGTGACGTGGCCCCTGTGGCCAGGCGGGCAGCTGGAGGGCACACAGCCGTGATCTGCTGAGGATTTCAGGCAGAACAAGTCTGCCATATCAAGGCCAAACTGGACGGAGGCCCGTGCCGTGCCAGGCGCCCCCCACGCCTCCCGGCCCTTGCCATGAAAGACAGCTGTGTGCCCACCGCTCACCTGCGCCGTGCGCTACGAACTCCATGAGGGCGAGTTTCACTAGAGAACCAACCACAAAACAACACCTACATAGTCATTGCTTGACGGTATATTTCCCCATTGGCAGACAAATGATTTCTCCACAGGAACACCCTCAAACGATCAGAGAAGCCCCCCATGTGGAAAAGCTCTCAACAGATCAACATCAAGGTAAAAACTAAAAACTGCCCTGTTATTTATTTTGTTAAGAGGAAAATACCCCAGTCACCTGCAACACTCCAGTGCCATGATAACCCCACAAAAAGAAGTGAGCCCCAGAAGCAACCATGTTCCTCTGAGACCCCTGTCGATCAAAAGACAATTTGAAAAAACATGTTTCCAACACCGAGCCACGCGGGTCTCACCTTGTCAAAAGCAGGATAGACAGCCCGGATTTCTGTCAGCCAGCCGTACGGCATGTGACCCACGGGGTACGTGGCCGTCAGAATGGCCACTGCCTGCAAGGAGAAGAGCAGGCAGCATTAGTGTGGGCCCCGGCACAAGGTCTCTCAGTAGCTGCAGGGCTTGAGACAGGGCTAGCAGAAGATCCCTCTCCCTAGCCAGCCACAGAATGGTCTAGAACAGAGAGAGCAGGTAACATACAGTGCACTGGATGGAGAGGCTAAGAATTGAGCCCAGCCTTTTCAGACTCCAGGGTCAGCCCCACTGGGCACCTCATCTGCAGGTTCTGGGGCTCACTTCTCTTGGGAGCACCTCAGCTCAGTGCGTTCCTCACCCCTCCGTTCCAGCACGGGCACCGTTTGTGGATCTGTGCTACTCTCTTTACATTTCAACTCATTTCAGACTGCTCGTCAGTGCGGCTCAATTAAACATTTTAGTTTCATGAAAATAATAAAGAATTCACAGACAAAGAGCTCTTGGTGGGTTTCCTACGGGGAAGAATAGGAGAAAAATGAAAAGGGAACACCTAAGCTACGTTCTTCCACTCTCAAATGAAGAGATAGGCAGGCTTCATCGACTTGAATGTCCGGCATTCCAAGAACCTCAGGCCAGTTCTAGCATGTGGAGAGACGGTGGGGCGGCATGAAGGAACAGAAGAAAGCATTGTGGCTGCGGGGTGCCTAGCTGCAAGCCTTCCCCTCCTGCCTCTCTGCTCTGCGAGACACGAACCCTCTGGGAGCTTCCCTCTCCTCCAGCTGAACAGAAATGAGGCTTATCTCACAGGCTGATGGGGAGCCAGTGAAAAGTATTTAAATACCGCCCCATCTGTAGACATCCCACAACTGCTGGTTCTATGACGCATGCTGTCTTCTATGCATTACTGTCCATTTAAAAATGGTTCTACTACAAAACTGACCCTTTGTTTGTTGGAAGGGGAAGACGGAAAGTCCAATGGAGAGGTGATGGAAGTCCCATTCTTCATGACTGGGAGACCAGGGCTACTGTGTTATAGAAGCCATCTAAGATGGCATCTACGATGTGAAAACAAAATCCAGAAACACACGGAGGCCGGAGAAAGCATTCTGCTTTTGGTTTACAGGCTTCTCTTGCCCAGCCAACCCGAGCTCGTCCCAGGACCTGGAAACTGGCAGATGCCCGGGGCTGGAGAGCTGCTGACAGCGCGTCGAGTCCTCCGCTCCCTAATGAGGAGCCGCCAGCCTCCGCGAGGCTGGCCAGGGCCAGACACGGAACGATTTCTCCAGAAGGCAGTGGAGGTGGGAAGAAATGAAGTCATTCTATTTGTCCATACCCAACTTGAAAGAGGGAACGGATGAGTCAACTCTTTCTTTGGAGTAGTTGCCAGTTTCCAGATACGTTTTTTGGGGGGAGATGGAAGGGAGTAAATAAAAGAGACCCTCATTTGGAGGAAGGCAGATTGCCAAAGAGTCTGAGGTCCAGATGACCGGTGGGGTGCTGGCACAGGAGGGCGGTGGTGAGCAGGTGAGCGAGGTTCGGCTCAGCGGGCAGGCACAGTCACTTCTACTGCTACAGGGCACAGTCTACGGTTGTCCTCCACCATGCTAGTCAAGAGGCCCTTTAGAAACCCAAACCATGGAGGAACGGCAGGCCCCGAAGTTCCTCAGGGGGTAAATGAGAGGATGAAGCAGCTGCTATTTTTCCTCAATCATAGAGTCACTGAATGGGATGAGGTAGTTGGGTCACATAATTCAACACTGCAGAACTCTTTGAGCACTTGAGATAAATTGAAGATGACTCTGAATCCTCCTCCCTGCCCAAGGTGGTGGCCTCCCCGCAACTGTGCCCTACCTCTGTAGCCGCTGAGCTGCCACCCAGGTCCCGGGAGACGAAGAGGTTGACGATAGGCCGGCTGATTCTCTGCGTGGCGAGAATCAGAGCCAAAGGCCACCAGAAGCTCAGCATCTTCCTTATCGTTGCATCTCCCTGCATTAAGAAATGGAGATCAAAGTTCACCGGAGCTCCTGCCATTCACTAGAAAACACAACTCAAATCCAAGCCCACACCCCCTTTTTTTCCCATGCCAATCAGGAGTTGATTCACTATATTTAACAGCCATACAGAGAAAAGCCTTGTAGGCATGCCAAGTTGAATTAAAATAAAAAGAAATTAGAAATTAATTCAGACAGCTGAGAGGCTACAGTGAAATCAAAGCTCACACTGAAGCTCGATCAGCCCCACCTTATTTTCCATATTGGATTCAGTCTCTAGCCAAGGTGGAGCCCAGAGCAGAGTCTTTGTTTCTGTCACCACAGTGACTGGGTAGAAGCCATGGCAGTAGGGAGTCACTCTTAGAATTTCAAAATTATTATCATCTATGTTGGAATCAGTGTAGATAAAGGTGATCATCATGGCCCTGTGAGAATCGACTAGAGATTCTTACTTCCAAAGCTATCACAGAAGCCACATAAACTGTGCAGAGAAGCACAGGCAAAGTAAAAGCATGGTAGAGAAAAGCTGTGTCTAAGCACTCTGCAGCCAAAGTGTGTCCCATCCGTACAGCCTGGCTTTCATGACGCAGTTTTGGGTTGGATTCTTTAAGAGGGAGAGTCTGCTTTGTGAAAGCATCCTATGCCCACTTTTATAGCCCTTACGTGGTGGTGGGATGTTGAGAGATGGATTGCTCCTGTCAAGACTAATTTGATGTGGTTAGCCTCGTGGTGGAAATAACCAGGTAGAGTTTATTGATAGCTTGACCTCAGATGCAGGTAAGTGGTCAATGTAATTACTGTTTTGACACAATGGAAGCAATGTGTGGTCCGGGAGGAGGCTATGGGCTAGAGGGTGGTGATTTATTCAGACATATTTATAATCACACACATCTGCTTTATAGCCAAATGGAAGGAAGCCCAGTGATGTCTATTATCTACCTATAGGTAGGAAAAATTTACATAAATCAGAAACAGCTTATACTTAGGATGTACAGAATGGCCACTTGTAAGTAGTTATGCATCCTCATCTGCATCCTCTTCAATTTTTAAGGCACAGACCAGACTCTGCCCTCCTCCAAAGGGGCTTCTTGGAGCATGTTACCACGTTCGTCCCCACAGTTTTGGGGGCTCTTAGGTTCTCACTGAAGGTCATGTCTAGTTGTTGCTTCTCCTTGGGTCTGACCTGCCACGTGGGACATATGTGAGACCCCTTCCCATCTCACAGGCCATATCTGAACATTTTCTGTCACGCTCTTGCACCGAATGTTCTGTTTGATCCTTAAGAAGCAGGTACATGAATCAAAGATTGGGATTAGTCAGTGCAGAAAGTATAGGCAAAACCTAGATCCTTGCCAGGAAATCGATAAAAAGTAAATTCAAAAGAGTCAGTGGATCTGAAAACGTCCTTGATTATAGAGTGATTCATAACAGAGAGAGGATGGTGGCCTCTAAGATCAGATCAGTGGGAGAAAACGAGGGAGAGGGTAACGCTGTTCAAAAAGAAACGTACTCATTACCTTACTTATGTAACTGTAACCCTCTGTACATCACCTTTACAATAAAAAATTAAAAAAAGATCATTCTCTAGAGTTCTTTCATTTTCCAGTGGTTTTCCTGAGGACACAACCCCGCTCTTGGCCATTGGTTATGACATCACTGAGTTGTATTGTTACGTTCTGTTTCCTATGGAACTGGAATACAGCCTTACTCGACCGAGTCATGGAGAAACTGTGGTTGAGCTGGCTGTGGTCACACATGGTATATACCTGCATGAGACTAACAAGTCAGTCCCATGGATTTGTATGGCTGACATGCATTTATACAAAGGCGTACCCCCAGCTCCGGTCCACTTCTGTCGGGGATGATGTCGTGGATGTTCCTGTAGTAGCCCAGGCAGAGGGTGGTGCAGCGCACGAGCGCACCCATGTACAGGGAGAGGATGGGGATGAGCAGGGGCTCGCGGCATTCCAGGTGACTGTGAAGTAAAATGGCTACGAAAACAACCTGAGAAAGGGGAGGAAGTGACTGGTTAGTGGGAGAGGGGAACTGGTGCGTAGAGACCAGCCCGCCCTCCTGAGCCAGAGTGTGGTTCACAGCGAGAATCTCCCCATTGCAGCAGAGCACTGAAACATGGGCTCGAGCTCAAGTTTGTTCAGAAAGGATTTGGGGGGCAGCTGTTTAAGGTTCCCTGAGGAAACACATGCATCACACCTTGCTAGATCCACCTTGCTAGATTTCTTTTTTTTTGTCCATCATGGGGCTTGAACTCTGGGCCTGGGCGCTGACCCTCAGCTCTTCAGCTCAAGGCTAGCGCTCTACCACTTGAGCCACAGCGCCACTTCCAGCTTATGTGGTGAATCAATCCCAGGGCCTCATGTGTGCGAAGCAAACACTCTACCACTGAGCCACCTTCCCAGCCCAAATTTTTCCCAGTCCAAAGATTTATTGAAGGGAAGGGCACATGGAGTTAATACGATCACTTAAGAAATATCTAGAAATTCTGGCTTCCCAGCCACCCTTCTCCATGTATAGTAGAGCTTTTCCCTGTAGAGGCTGGAAACCCTGGCGCTCACATTACCCGCCCCTGAGGGAAGGCTGGTGGCCCGTCACTGTGCAAGCAAAGGGACCTAAATGTTTATAAGACAGGAGTCACTAAAGATACTGTCCAAAGCACCACCAGTAATTATGGTAAAAATTAAAATGAAAATATAAACGTATGCAGTGGGACAAGTTGAAACTTCCAGAGTCAGGAGAGAATGCAGTCATATTCAAGTGTCCATCTCTCTAGAACGGCACCGTGTCTCGAGCAAATATTTCAATGCATTCGTCTCCCTACATTGTGGAATGGCCTCTACACAGAGGCCTCCTGGCATCCACTTAAGCAAAAGACTGTGGAGGCACACTGCCGAAAAGCAGGGTGACCGCTCGGAAGGACGCTCCAGGGAAACCTCATGGAAAAGCCGGCAGGTCAAATATGATGGCGTCGGATGATGTGGCAGAAGGGGATAAAGGGAGACCCCTACAGGATGGAGCCCACGTTTCAGACCAGATGATAATGCAGTTGCTTTACTGAACAGAATGCTTGATATGAAAGACCTTCCACTCAGGACCTGAGACGTTTGAATAGCCTTGCCAGAGCTCTGAGCACGAGAGGCTACAGATATTTAATAGGGGATTGTAACTATGTTATGGAGGCTCTAAACCTAGGGCACTGCATTAGTCTGCATTTCATTGTTAGAACAATATGCCTAAGACAGCGTAATTCAATGTTCTGAAAGGGGAAGGGTATTTGACTCACAGTGTGAAGGCTGAAAGCCAAGAGAGCACATGGCAGGCTTCGTCGGGGCTCTGCGGTGAACTGGCTGTGTCACTTTATGGCTGAGGGCAATGGTGGGAGTGTAAGAAGTGGGAACAGATCACAAAAATCCAGAGAAATTGAGATCCACAATCCATGGAAGGTGCCCTCAATGATTTAAGGACTAACGACCTCTCGCTAGGCCTCCATGATCATACTAAGGGGGTAACTTTGCTATGCACGACACTTGGGGGACTAACAGTATCCAAGCCATAGCGCACACAAATTAGACTCTCCATGGAAGGAACACAGAGCGCGGGTAGTGGGAGGAGCCACTGACAGGGAAGGGCTGTTGCACTGTCCAATGAGAAGGCAGAAGCTGCGTCAGGGCAGTTCTATTGACTGGCACAAGGCCGTTAGTAAGAACTATCCATGTGAACTCACCACAGAGCAGCCAGCCTTCACGGGGAACAGAAGGAAAAGTTAGTGAAAGAATGGAGGCAGTGATCAGACACTGCCCTTGTATGAAGTATTACCGAGACTGACAAAAGAGAAAGAATGACCTCTATTGAGGAACACGGAGACCCAGAGAGTGCCTCTCGCTGTTGTTTGCAGAGATCTCAGAACCAGTCCAAAAAGGCAAAAGATGATCAAGTACGGATCAGTAAAGCTCCTGAGGAAGCAGGTCAAACCAGGACCCAAGGAACCTGCGCCTTCGTGGTCCTGGATTAGAGAGGCGGCATCTGTCCTCTATCGAGGGAAGGTGGAGATGATGCCAAGGTTTGAAGACCTGGGGAAGCAAAGTCACCTGCTGGGAAGAGGGTGGTGGAGAGGGAAGGAGCCTCAGAAACGGTCTCAGGTCAGCTGAGGTGAGGAGGAGGATTTCTATGTACCATTTGGTGAGGAGTCCCTCCATGTAGGTTTCTGCATAAGCATTTACTACTGCTGGGGCAGGCAAGAAGGAACACCTGTGGCTGTTGGTTAGTCAAAGGCTGAGATGCAATGGCCACAGGCAGGGAGCCCCTAAAAATGCAGGGAGACGTTCATCTGAGGAGACCGGGGTAGATGGCAGGAGAGAGGCCACGGAACAGGAGGCTCCAGGAAGGGACAATGCAATGGCCTTGTCAATTCTCACTTCAACACTGAGCAAGCCTAGAAAGCTCAGATGACAACGGAAAAAAGCAAAAGCAGCAGCAGCATTGACTAGCGCTGGAACTGGCTTGCCTGTTGTCTACTGCATGTCTGAACAAAGCAAGAGCTTTTTTTTTTTTTTTTTGCCCTGCTGTGTGAAATCAATTAAGATTTTTTAAAACTGAGTTTGGCCATTGAAATGAAGGCATTGTTAATAAATTTCATTTTATCAGTGATGACTGTTTATGGCAAGATGGTAGCTCAAATAAGTATTATGTAGAAAATCTATTTATAAAATTGCCAAATTAGGTAACTTAACAAATGCTTGCAGATAATGAGAAGAATACAGGCTGAGGTGGGGGAGGTAGGCTTACAAAGACAAATGGAATTTATTCCCTAACTGAAGTGTGGCAGGAACTCAAGCAGCAAGGTTTAAAATAAGCTCAAGGACAGATGGCATCTGAACCCAGCCTTGCTTGCTCCTACTACCCAGATCTGTTTATTCCAAGAGGCAAGGCCAGGATCAAGTTGAAAGCTGAGGAGAAAAATGGCTGTGGGCCTAGGGGCAAAGCAATTCTCAAGGAGATGGCTTTTCATCTGCTTTTGGATGCTTAAAGACATTCGCCTACTCCTTTTCTTTGTCCTTCTTTTTCTTCTTCTTTTTGTCCTGGTTCTGGGGCTTGAACTCAGGGCCTGGGCACTGTCCCTGAGCCTCTTTGTGCTCAGGACTAGTGCTCTACCACTTTGATCCAGAGTATCATTTCTGTTTTTTAAGTAATTAATTGGAGATGAGAGTCTCAGGCTTTCTTGCCTGTGCTAGCATTGAGCCTCAATCTTCAGATCTCAGCCTCCTGAGAACAGCTAATATTGCAGTCATGAGCCTGACTTCTTTTTGTTTCTAAAACAACAATCATCTACAAATGAACACTGACATGCTGATGCTGGTGTTAGAATGAGACATGCTTCCTTCATTTCAAATGAAGTGATTATAGAGAGAATGAGGCAGCTTAGTTAGTCTCTCAGAAGAAGTTAGTCTCTCTGAAAGGAAGATTGGGACAAAACTCTAATAAAGCTACAAGAAAATTAACGAAGATATATCAAAGAATGATGTTAGCTAATATTAAGGCACTCACATATGTGTTTTTGGTAATTAATATAAATTACTTTTAATAGTGATCCACGGAGTAAGCACAATTAATTCGGAAATTTAATTCTTGCTCCGTAGGGAGGTAAATCTAAGTTCAACTGTCGATTATTGAAGCAGTGGCTAAAAGATGAGGATGTTAAGTGAAGTAAGTCAGGCCCACAGAGAGAGAAAGAATGCATGTTTTCTCTCATATGTGGAGGCTAGAACTAATTTATAAATGTGCAAGAAAACAGATATGGGGTTGTGTGCAAGTGTATGCAAATGGATTAACCGAGTATAGTATTTGCACGGGAACATTCAAATGGTGCAATTCCTTAGAAAACAAACTCCCAGTCCAACAAAATGAATACCAGAAAACTAACACTTGAAATGAATGTGGGGGGAGATCAAGAGCAGAAGGGGAGGTGAGAGGGAGGGAGGGAAGGATGCAGCCACAATAATGAATGCATATCATACAATTAAGCAAATGAGGGTGGGGGAGGGCGGAGGAGGACGACAGAGAAGGATAAAGGGATGACGTTCATCAACATACATCGTACTAAGTAACTGAGTTGTTGCATGGTAACGCCTCTGTACACCTTTGAAAGTTAATAAAAAGATAATTAAAAAGGAAAGGACAATAAAAGTATAATGTAAAAAAGAGCAGGATGTTGCACAGGGGAAAACAGATGGGAATGGGTGGAGACAGAATGGACAATGTGGATTAGAATTTGTGAGAGAGGGTGAAGTCTAACTTTCCCCTCTGTATTGTCCCCCCAAGCCCTTAGTTTTAGGAACTTGTTCTAATTGATAAATTACAGGGATGCAATCTAAAATGCTCCCTGGAGTTTTCAAGTGGTGTCCTAGGTGAAAGAAGGAAGGAAGAGCAGAAGGCCAGGCCCGTGCCAGCCGCTCTGCAAACTGGCCTGCAGAAGGTGAAGACGCTGACTTTAGACAGGGGAACCAACTTCCGGGTGCTTTCACACGTGGGGAAATGATGCGTGAATTCAACCACTCTTCCTGGAGCCCACAAGAAAACCAAAGTTTGAAGCAAAGTTCCCAGGGCTCCTTCTAGAATAGAGTGACAGATGGTGCTACATGATCCACAGAACCACAGGCTCTATGACCAGCCCGAAACAGAGAAGAGGCAGTTCTCATACACACGGCTCAAAAACCAGGGGACAGTCAATTCAAATTCACACAATCCTCGCTCTAGCACCCCTGTATAGGCTTTGATCCTAGGACATTTCCTTTACTCAGTCGTTTACAAACATCGACGACAGTCCGTCTCTGCTATGAGCTGAAGGCAGGGGGAGCTGTACAGGACACGAATGAATGAACAGCGGTCAGCATTGTCACATCCAGCTGGCCATTCACTTACCACAAGGCCACTGAGTATAGCTGACCGACACACAGACCATACATACCTGAGCTATGACATCTGAGATTGAGGCACATCCCACCAGGAAACTGTATTTGTGTTTCAAGAGAATGCCAGCATGGGTCCAAGCCTGCCAGGTAGGAAAGCGATCACTATGAGTACACCCTGGGCATTGCAGTGTTTCTCCTCATTGCGATTCCCCCACGACCCCCAGGACTGGGGATTGAACTCAGGGCCTCAGGTTTGCTTCCACTTGAGCCACAATGCTAGTCCTTTTGCTGCTAGTATTTTAGATGGGATCTAGTGCTGGTCTCAGAGCATAACCTCCCTGCCTCTACCTTCCAAGCAGCTGAGACCACAGGTATGCACCACCATGTCTGGACTTGCTAGATATTCCTGAGACATCTTTCATATCTCTCAAAGTCCTAGCAGCATAGGTATGATAAGTTTTCACTAGGTAAAATTCCTGTGGTCAGGTGGCATGCTCCACATTGAAGTATTTATTTAGTACCAACTGTATGTAGATGAATGGACTCATTGGGTGTATATGCCTATTAGGAAGCTGAATGAATACCAAGAGTGAAGGAAAGAAGCGCTTTCACCACAGTGGCTTTTCCTAGGAGGTGTGGTGTACTGAGGGCTCTAACATGGTCATGGCCATTGCTGCAGTTCACTGACTGATTAGGGTTCTGTTATTTCCTTGTCTTGACGATTCTGATCTTGATGCTGTGCCTTACGAGGGAGTCGAGGCAGGGGCAGCAACCCCAACCCTGGGTATTAGGCTAGAAGTTCATGATGGGATCTGTTTAAGGACCGTCCTTCTTACTTTTAAGGTGGACTTTGACCCAGAAATAACATTTCACTGGAACTAAACACAGTCACACAAGGACTACCTATTCCCCAGGTCCATGTCAGGCTTTCTAATACCAGCTGCTACATTCTCTGCTCGGGAGTCCCCTCGGTACCAAATGTTCAACAAAGGGCAAACTGTAGATAACATTTGTGAATGACACCTTGTGGGCTGCCTCTGTTGTCTGGAAGCCATCTGGATAATAAGCCTCATAGCTTAGAGACATTATCTCTCCAACCAATAAGTGAAGGTTCTGTGTGTGTGTGTGTGTTTATGTGTGTGTGCATGGTATATAGGTGGGGGAGGGGAGATATGGTCTGTTCTGTGCAAATGTTCATTATTTTGGTTTTTATTAGCAGTCTCTTACTGTTATATGAAGGCCTTTGGGAGAATTTATAGATAAAACATGGAATAAAAGAGTAGGGCCATACAAATGAACTTTACTGTTGAGAATTCCTTGTTCAAAACCTTTGAGATTGTTTTGGATGTTGAATTCCTGGGGAACTTATTTATGTATATCTAAAATGAGATACCTCGGATTTGGGACCCATGTCTAACATAAATTCATTTATGTTTCATGTATACCACATATCCTGGAGATAATTTTATATAATATTTAAAGAAAATGGGGCCTGAAACAGAGCTTCACACTTTAGAGTGTGTGTGGAATTCTCGAGTGGCAATGTCTTGTTGGCTTTTGGAGCAGTTAGGATGTTGGATTTCTGGACCAGATATGTCAAAGTCCAAAACTCAATCCTATACTGTCTTAGGACCTCTCCTATGGCAATTAAAATAGTGCTGAAGGGCAAGGGAAGACAGGGCATTCACTAACAATCCTGAGACCCGAGCATTATTACGTGTGATAATAATGCTCTATTTAGCTTCCCACTTTCAGTTCAGAGGGTAGGGCAGGCATTTGGGAGATCTTCTGGCCTCCATCTAGGGGGGAAGGCCATAACTCTTTAAGGATGGGAAGAAGGCTGCACTCTCTGTTTTCTGATATAGTAACTTAGAAGCAGTGGGCTCCCTGTAAGCCAGGCGAGCCTGGAGAGGCTGACTCACACACTGCAGCCCCTCACTTGCCTTTCCCTTCCTTGAATCTCTGTCAGCACCTAATAAAGAAACACAACTTGCGACAAGTAAGAAAACGCAGCGCATGTGTCCAGGTGACTCGATCCTTCCAACGAGGTGGCGTCCTAACAACTAAGAACCAGAACCTTCATGTCAGCCTGGAGCTTAGTGTTCCGGGCTGACCGTGGATTGGCTGAGTGCTGTCTGGGAATCACGGAGGCTGTGCAAACCATCTGACAAATGGCCATACTTCCAATGACCTGGTAGGAGATGGGCACAGGTTGTTTTTACGTTGCCTCATTTCTCTAAGGCTTTGAAAGGCCTTATGTGTTTATTGCTCGTTGAGACTTAAGGCAGACTTAAGGTAAAAAAAAATATGCAGACTGATACATATATTGAAGATTCCTGTTAAGAGTCAGGAGTGTAGCTCAGCAGGAGAGCACCTGCTTAGCATGCATGAGGCCCGGGGTTCCTTCCCCTGCACTACAACAAACAAGTAAACAGCAAATGAAGGGAACTGAAAATGTATTAACTACATCTTTGCAATGGAACATTCCTGAGCCTTAATGCAACCAAGAATTCAGTGCACAGCCTACAAAATTAAGAAGCACGAGGGAAAGGTGGTGAGGAAGGGATGGGGAGAATGTTGAAAGGGGCGGCCTTCAAGGTGTGGCCTCCATAAACTGCTTTGTTCAATGGCAACTCCTGGTACAACTACTTACAGACAATAAATACATAGAAAAATTCAAAAAGGAATGAAATTCTAGAATGTGCTACAACCTGAAGAGAGTAAACAAGGTTATGATGTAAAATGAAATAAGCCAGTCATGAAACACAGCCCATGCTCTCACTCATATGAGGTGTCTAATGGAGAATGGAGTCAAATTCCTGGAGACCGGGGTGGGGCTGGGGGGTGTGGCGGATATCGGGGCTGGGGCGGGGAACTGCTCTTAACGGACACAGAGCTTCAGTTCTGCAAAGTGGCGGAGGGCTCTGAAGATTGTGCACAAAAGCGTGATTGTTCTTCGTGCGGCTGAAGTGCACACGGAAACATGGTGAACATGGTCAATGTTCTGCTCTGTGTGTTTCTCAAAGCAAAAATTCGACGGCCCCGTGCTTACCATGGCATCCATGAATGGGAAGGCGGCGAGATACAGGAAGGCCCTTCGCGTTTTGCTCCCCACGGACTCGTCCACATGGTGCAGTTTATTGATGATGTAGTAGCCCAAGTCACTGTAAGCTGCAGAGGGTCAGGAACACACACGTGGAGACATTTAGAAAGGGACTTCGTACATGCTTTTTACCCTGACAACTTAAAAGTCACCTAGAAGATCCACTTGTGATAGACAAAGGATAAGAAAAGCCTCTGGAACCTCATCCCTCTATCCAGAGACAGTCTCAGCTAACACTTAGGGCTCTAATCACCAGCTTCCTCTCCAGATGTGTGGGGTACGTGTGTGGGTTTTATTGTTTTTCTTTTTTATTTCTTTTTTTTGTCGGTCATGGGGCTTGAACTCTGGGCCTGGGCGCTGTCCCACAGCTCTTCAGCTCAAGGCTAGAGCTCTACCACTTGAGCCACAGCGCCACTTCCCCTGTGTGAGTTTTAACAGGAAAAAGGGGACCACCTTTGAAGGCATGAGGACGCCTTTCACCATGTGCATCTATATTTTGTTTAATCCATCACTCCTTTTGGTAATACCAGCTTATTCACTCTCCTGCAGTTGCACATTTACAATGTCATTTCCATGTAATTAGAGAATGCTTTAAGTATGGATGTGAAGCTAAATGTTTATACACACATATATTAATATAACAAGTATTTGAATACTTGAACCCCAGCCTTAGTGCTCAATACAGATTGTGTGTGTGTGTGTGTGTGTGTGTATGTGTACTGGTACTGAGGCTTGAACTCAGGGCCTGGGCACACTGTTAGTAGCTTTTTTTTTGCTAGAGTGGTACTCTACCGTAAGCCACAGATTCACGTTCAGCTTTTTGAAGGTTAATTGGTGACGAGTCCTGCAAGCTTTTCTGCTGGATTCAGAGCTCAGCTTCCTAAGGAGCTAGGATGACCCCCAGGCTGCTGGGATGCACCAGTTGCAGAGGGGAGAGGGAGGAGGGAGACCCCAGTGGCCATAAGCATGGTGGGTCTGGGGGTGATGTGAAGGGGTGGGAGGCCTAGCAAGCACAGGAGGGGAGGGGCGCTTCATGTCTCTAAGGAGAGGCTGCGGTGAAAACCAGACGAAGCTGCAGAGGTAAGATCAGAAGCTGCAGAGGTAAGATCAGAAGCTGCAGAGGTAAGATCAGAAGCCGAGCAGTGCATCTGCGGCAGTGCTGTGTGAGGGGGAAGGTAGCCCACGAGAGCTGAAGTCAGTTGTACTGAAGGAAGATGCATATTCAGACCAGTGGTCATTTGGTGAGACCAACAGATAGAGCCTACAAATAGCCTGCTCAGGATGCTGAGCTGTGGAAGTTCTGTCTCAATGTGTATCATGGCTTCCACTTATCTGTTCGTGTGCTTTCGTGCAGTCAACGGATGGTCACTCTGTAGGGTCCTGGGAGGAGACCGTCTCTACACCCGTAGTACCGACCCCACGCTGACACAGCTACGGGTGATGGACAAAGTTGTAATGCCATGTTCACGAGCACAGCTATGAACAGCTCACGAGCTAAGTCCCCTGGTGAAGGTGACAGTCAATGGAAACTGGTGTGAAGTGATCTTGGTTGCAGAGGTCAAAGCTGGGGATCAAGAAGGGTGGTGTGTCGAATCACACTGTCCCCTCAAAGTTCAAACACCAAGGTCCTAAGGCCTGTGCCTCACGACGTGGAGCATCGGGGTGGCTGCAGATATAAGTGAAGATGAGGTTGTACTGGACCCCAGCACCCAACCTCGTATGGCTGGTGTCTTCACAAAAGGGGGTACCAAGAGAACAAAGACTTCACACAGATAGCACCCTGGGTGAGGATGGAGGCAAGGACTTCACGGTGCCCTTATGTGCAAGCCAGGGCACAGCCAGAGTCAGTCCTCCGAAGGAACCAAGCCTGCCCACGCCGTGTCCTGTGACTTACAGCCTCCACAATTAGGAGAGGAAGCTTCTAGATGTAGCACTGTCCACAGCAGCCCTGACAAATGGATGCAGACAGCCTCTAAGGAAGAAGAGGACTTATTTTTGCATTAACTTCTGGGTTCAGTGGTAGTACAAGAGATGGGATGTTGAGTTGGAACTGTTGAGAGCAAGGTGTGTGTGTGTGTGTGTGTGTGTGGTTTGCCAATGGAACTACTTATTAGGATATTTAACTAAAACAGTCACACAGGGCCTTTGCGCAGGGCGTCGGGAGTAAACACATGCTGCTCAGTGGGGACCAACGGCTCGCTTGGAGGAGCTCGCGCAGCTTTCTGTGAGCTCCACTGCTGGCCTCAGCTCCCAGGGCCTGCTGGGAGCTCTCTTTGGATCCCAAGTTCTAGCCTTGTGACTTCTGGACCCAAAGCTTCCTCTTTTTGTTTCTTTTCATTTTTGCCTTTTCCTCCTTCAGCTACTTAAGGAAAAAGTTTTCCCATACTTCCTTATCTCCTTCTAGTCCAGCGGTAGAAGGAGAATCTTCTAACAGCGAAGGTTACTTCCACCCTGGGCACTGTTGAGTGTGAAACCCCAGCACCTGTTCTCACCCAGTCTCTTCTGTCCCCCCAAGTCCTTCCTCCCTCCCTTGGCTGCCCCTGAGCTATTTCCATCACCGGAAGAGCACGCGGCTCATGATGATTTGCTTAACGCGTTTTGCATCGAGTCCCTAATTACCAGGCTAGCTGTGTTAGCAATATTTAGTAACCAACTCCCATCCACTGCCTCACCAACACCGGGCTGCAAGCAAGTGCTCATAATGAAGAGCGGAAAGTTATAAAACAAAATTAAACAAGGCTTCAGAGCAGGTGTAAACTGGCTTTATGACACTGTAAACAGTAAGAGGATGGACGCTACCCTGGCCTATTTATAGGTAGCTAGTTAGGACCCTGACCAAAAGCAGGACAGACAGAATGGGCTTTTAAGTTCATGGACCCCATGACCTGACCCACCGAGGAATATGGCCCCTTCTGTATTAGCTACGAGCACATATCACCAACTATGAAGTATTAACATTAACCAAAACAAGTCTTCCTGCAGGTATTTTCTCACAGGGAACTGAGAAAAAGGCCAAGCCTCCTCCCTGGTGTGAACAGTAGGACAATGCAGATTTCCAAGAAATGAAATGCACGTATGAGAACCTTTTTTTAAAAAATTCAAATCCCCAGTCCACCTCCGTTCTTTATTGAGCATGGAGTCCTGTTTATGAGGCTCCTCACGAGAGCAGCCGCCTTCCGCCCTGGGTTCTGATGTATCACTTCCAAAGTGTGTACCCTCGCACGGCTGACAGACCGCACTGAAATCACTTCAGCAAATATGTGTTGAATGACTTGTTTGTACCAGGCACTGCGCCAATGGGCCAGCCGCGAGAGGAACGGTTTCCTGCATGGAAGTTGGGACGGACACTGATGTATGACTCAAATGTCATCTGTATTGAGCAAGTGGGTCTGATAAACAAGATGGGAGGTGCATGCACGGCCTAGACCTGGGAGAAAGAGCATGGATCCATGGCAAGTAAAGTCACATTTCTACTAGAAGAACAGCCTTCTACCCAGGCAGCATGGGGCTCCTAATACTTCACTGCCGGCATTTGCTTCTCTCTAGAGAACTTACCTTGACTCAGGTCTGAACACATAGGACCAAGGTCTAGTCCAGTGTTTACCATGTAGTAGGTGTTTGATAAATGTAGACTGAAGAGATGCACAAATCCATGACACCCAAAGGAAGGAACTGTAAAGATGTCCCTAGTTCTTCCTTCCTCCTTCTACCTCCACTTTGTGACTTTCCACCTTCCGCTGTCAGAATCGGCAGCTTATGTCCCTATACCTTGGCTTCCCTGCTGTCATGCTACGGACTGCTCAGCTGGGGGCCGTGGGGGAGGAGAGTGTGGACTTGTGTTCTTGCCTCAGGAAGCTTGTGTGCCTCTACCCTTCCACCTGGAGCCTGACCACAGCCGTTAAAAAAGCCCAGAGAGTCCTGCTGTCCCAGCAGAGGCCACCTGGGTGGGCCAGCCTCTGGCTGACCTTGGGCTGGCCCTCCTGACCTTCAGCTGACCAAAGAGGCAAGTTTCCCCCCACTGGCCAGCCAGCTGGCCGTGGTATGGCGAACAACAACAACATACTGGTGTTTTGAGCAAAGTACTAGAGTTGGTTTTAGATGAACAATAACAGAGCACAAGACTATTGAGTCGTTCATTCCCAGCACCTTTGCTGGCAAACCAGACTCATTTCCCTCTTTACAGGGCTGCTCCAGAGCCCATGCATAAAGGTGGCAATTTTGAAGGGGAAAGAAAAACCCTGGCAAATGGAAGCGGTCTAGCAATGATTTCACATGTTCACTACCCAGTGCAAACATTTAGTTCTACTGACCACCAGGCTGCTTCTGAACAAGGCAGAGAACAATGGCTCCCATATTCTGTGAGAGCGAAAGGAAGCACTCATTTCCTTGCAGGTAAAGTTGACTTGGACCACAGAGAAACCACATTGCAAGGTCAGCAAGCTTTCTTTTTTATAGATTCTTTAAGAGTAAGAAACAGGATCAGAGTGAGAAACAGGATTACCACCTTCAGTGACCACTCGCCTAAATTACGAGGTGGTCTGGGCAAACCCTGTGCTCCGCAGCTTTTATAAACAGTGCCTCAGGGATGAGTCCCTGACAGAATGCATGGCTACAATTAAGTTCAAAAGGGATGCTAGGTCAGGAGGCCGTGCGGTTGGTAGAATCTGTTTCAGTCACGAGTGGGAAACCCACACTCAGGTGATCATGGCTGGAGGATGACAGAATGCCCTGCTCAGCAGTGATGAAATACAGTGGAAAAGAATTCCTTATCTAGAGCAAATGCAATGAAAAGGACCCCATATAGCGTTCCTCCCTTTATTGGTACAAATGCAATTAAGAACAGAGGAGGCTTTCACTGTTCGTTGACATGAGACTATTTTGATTGTCCTACTGTGACCCACAAACTGACCACAGAGATGGCACAGGGTTAATGAGAGCGAGGAGCTGCATCTGTGCCCTACTGTTCAGAAGTGGCCATGGCCACATGTGAAGGCCTTTCTAAGTGAAGACGACCCTGCAAGGATCTAATTTATTAACAGTAATAACAAAAAGTGTGGCGAGTTCATCCAACTAAAATTGAAGTCAGGCTGAGAAGGAAGCCGGATTTCTCAAACATTTGGAAGCAAAATTTGAGAGGAATCCTAGGGTATCTCACCAAGCTCTAGTTCATAGCCAAGGAGATGATGCAGTTATAAAATACAGCCAGCTTTTTCTAAATACAAAATAATCTCCTTAGAGATCAAGAGGTTACAAAGATAAATATTAGTCGAACATAGCCACCTCATTGGTGAAAGCTGAACCAGACACACATGAACAGCGTGCTTATCTGTAAGACATCACAAAAAGAGCTGACTGGCATCAAAGGGTTTCCAAGGGAGTCCACACAGAGCTGCAGACAATGTGGCTATGTGATGCTCGCTGCCAGCTTCCTCTCTACCTCTAGTTCCCTGCCCCCTATTCCTTTCTCCTCTCCTTAGGTTTTCCAAGCAGCCTACAGAGCTCTTCCTAGTCTCAGAACCTTTTCCTGGTCCCCTGTCTGACTCCACACACAGTATCTACTCAGGGACCTATTATAGTCTGTTCTGGATTCTTTCTTGGTTCATATCTCTTCTTCCTGATGATAAATGTGTGGCTACTGCCTGTCTCTGAAGGACTTCCTTCCTCTCTGTTTTCTCTTTGTCACCGTCATCCTGCTCTTTTTGAGTCCAGGGATGTTTTAAGGCCCTCAGCTTTTTTTTTGGGGGGGGTCCGGTCGTGGGGCCTAAACTCTGGGCCTGGGTGCTGTCCCTCAGCTCTTCAGCTCAAGGCTAGTGCTCTACCACTTGAGCCACAGCACCACTTCCAGCTTTTTTCTTTTTTGCTTATGTGGTGCTGAGGAATCGAGCCCAGGGCCTCAGGCATGCAAGGCAAGCGCTCTACCACTGAGCCACCTTCCCAGCCCCAAGGCCCTTGGCTTTTGATGAGTTTATTTTCACCACTCTCAAAAGCTCTTGTTACTGGTGCTATAGAAATGAGCACGGGATGCACACACTCTTCTGTCAGATGCACATACTCAGGGAGAGGGGTGCATCTGACCACATCTTCTGTACTCAGTCTCTCTCTCCTCCACTTTCTTTTTTCAGTCAGTCCTGGGGCTTGAACTCAGGCCTGGGGACTGTCCCTGAACCTCTTTGTGCTCAACGCTGGGGCTCTACATAGACAATTAAGTCACAGCACCACCTCTGGCTTTTTTTTTTTTTTTGAGTAGTTTATTGGAGATAAGGAGTCTCACGGGGACTTTTCTGCCCAGGATGGCTTCAAACCCTGATCCACAGATCTCATCTTCCTGAGTAGCTAGGATTACAGGTGTCAGCCACTTGTGCCCAGCCTCAATCTCTTTTGATCAACAAGCTCATGCACTCATTTCCTCAGCACATATTTCGTTGAACCACACCAATGAGAGGTTATTGGGTCATTTAGAAAGTAAATGACACAAAGCAATTCTTACACTTACTCTTCTGTACTCCACTGTTAACATTCAAAGAGGAAAATGAGCTCTAGCAATGTGAATGACGTTAAATGGCTCAACTCATATTTAACAACATCCTATGGTAAAAATGGATGACCTTTATCCGTAAGAACATGAGAGGAGACACATGCATGTTAAAAGTACAAAATGCTCCACACTAGGGAAAAGTGCTATCTTAGAGAATAAAGTAGAAAGCAAAGCAAGGAAGTAGCCACTTATCACAAAAGTGCAGCATATGACAGAATAGCCAAGTATTAGAAACAGGTCAAGTACTTGAATTTAGTTTATACTGAAAATTAGGGGGAAAAACAAACCCTAAGAAGCGCTGGGCCAGACACTCCACAAGGCCTTTCAGTCCCAATCCCCCAAACAAAGAAGCTCTTCCTAATCTATGTGCTCCTAGTGCTTCTAAAAATCACACACACACACACACACCCCAAAACAAAAAACAGGAGCGAAAGAAATAAATTAACTGAAGTGGCGAAGGACGTGGCAATAATGAAACATTTAAAGCAATCAGCCTGTTTTCATCTGAACAAAAGATACAGAAAACTGAAGTTAGGCCTAGATATCTGTGGCACATATTCCCTCTCTGGGTTAACCGAATGCATTTTTGGTAGGTGGTCTCTGGCTGACTATGGGCTCCACTCAGGGCTGCTCCTGCAGATCAGATGCTCATTTCCATAGCCACTTGGGCAAAGATGGCTAGCAAGGCTTCCTGAGATCCTACCACAGCGTCTCAGGTTCAGCACACGCACTGCATTTGTGCACTATGTCAGTGGCCCCAAGGCACAAGCACATCCGCATGCTGACAGCTAAAGCAGAAATGTAAGCATCTGTTGCTAGTATTACTACAGAGTGAAAATAGGTTGAGGCGTCTATTGAACACCTTCAGTAGATATAATTGAGAAACTGATACTGATATAGGAAAATGATGGCAGGAAAAGGTGGGCACGGATGGAGAAGTAGTAATGGCTCATCATGGAGCTAAGTTCCAGATTAGAGAAAACAAAGCATGGACAAGACCTTACAGACCATGGAAAGAGGAAGGATGGAGAAAGGGAAATGAAGATGAAGATACATCAGAGACAGAAAACAATAGAGACTAAGCAGAAAGGAGGCTGGACAAGGGGCGACGTAGATCACAAACTGACACACTGAACAACTGAAACCCCTCTGTACAACTACTTAAAAGATGCTATTACTACCAGTGATCATAAAGTCTTTTCCAAGTCAAAAAGTAATTTTAAAAATATTGAAAAAGATTTAGGTGGGCTACAGAAATTGCTTATCAACTGAAGAAGGAATGAAGCTTGATGCAGGTAATAAGAGCTTTCAGTACAAAATATCAAACGTGACAAATGATTACTACGTATAACCGAGATAGATACCTCTCTTCAGTTAAATTCCAAATTTTATGATTCTACTCTAAAAGAGAAAAACAAGTTTAACTTGAAAAGCCACGCTCATTTTTATTTAAGTGACCACATTTTCCTCTCATACAGTCTGCTCAGTTTCCTCTTTTTTAGCTGTTGACAGCTAGCTATTAGCTATTTATTTCAAATTCTCATTCAAGCATGGTTAAAACAGGGTACATTAGGTTCTTTACAGATCCAAGTAAAAGCACCAAGCAAAAAGGAACTAACTTACTATTTAGATAAGACCTTTGCTTCAAGGATGTATGGAATTTTCTCACTGCATATACTATCTTTAGAAATGGCCTAGATTATATATAGCTGCAGAAGACTGGCAGTTTCAGGAACAAATTGAGAGAAAGAAAGGCATCTTTACCTACCTACCTATCTTCCTTCTGAATGAGGCTTTGAGTACAGAGAAAATGATCAATATCAACACTCTGGCTGAATAATTTCATTAGCAGAGTGGCTCTCTTCCACATAGCTCTTAGAACGAAATCCGATGCCATGTTAAAGAGGAAAACCACAGAGGCCATGCCCTATTAACTTTGAGATTACAGCGATGTGAATAAACATCAGCTGCCTGGGAATACACTGAGTGGTTTGGATTAATCCTTTATTTGCTGCTGACATCCAGGTGTCTCACACAGCAGGTACAACAGTAGGGCTCATAGTGGGAAATGAAGTGCTATTCACAGTGTCTTACCAACTGGCTCCAGCACACGTGGGACTTAATTTTTAGCCTTACAAGTATGCAAAGAAGCAGGGGAACATTCTGAAATAAAGGCCTTGTAGTTTCAGAACCACCAAGAAGACTAGAAGGAAAAGCCAGCCCTGAGGAAATGTGCTTCCCAAGGCCTTGCTCCCCTGAAGGCCGCAAGTACTGGCCAGCTTCCCATTTCATGGAAAGAATGCTTTGACCAATGCCATCAGTCTTGTTTTTGACTAAATCAGCAAAGAGAAGCACTAGAACAAATTAATTTTAACAAATAAAACAACCTGCCATTTGTTCACAGTATCAGTAGGATCCATTAAAAAATAATCCTTCCTACTTCTATTCTAGGATTAATAATTGGTACAGTGCATGTGCGCTTCTACTAAAAGTCTGTGCTTTGTTGTTGTTGTTATTGTTGTTGTTGTTGGGGTAGTAGGGCTTGAACTCAGGGCCTGAGCACCGACCTTGAGCTTTTTCACTCAAGGCTAGCATTCTACCACTTTGAGTCATAGAAACACTTCTAGTGTTGAGATTCTGGTGGTTAATTGGAGGTTAGAGTCTTACACACTTTCCTGCCTAGGTTAGCTTTGAACCATGATCCTCACCTCTCAGCCTCCTGAACAGCTAGGATTACAAATGTGAGCCACTAGCACCCACTGGATGTGCTATTTTGTCCATCTTATAAAATGCTATTTCTAGGAGCAATAATCTATTAATCAAATCACTCCCTCCCCAACTTTGGGAGCCAGAGACACAAAACTACGGCTTTCCAGTAAGATAAATTTATTTGCTGGAACTAAGAACATGACCACCATACCTTCCACCCACGAAAATTTCCATGAGGGATGGTTCAGTTAAGAAATCACTTATTCCAGTAACTATAAGTCAATTAGGAGGAATTAAAATAATGGCCACAAAGCCAGCGGCTTTAGTGACCATCAAAGCCTTACCTATCAGGGTGTGGAAGACAGCTGCTATGGCACCAGCCACCACCATACACAGGACGGCTTTGGTCCTGTCTCGCTTGCTGTTCACAAACACCAGGCCCACATTTTTGAAGTCACTCATGGGTCCTGTGAAGAACTTCATCAAGGAGTACGCCAGCCCATAGCTGGCTAGCATCTCGACAGCATCTTCTTTCACAGCCGCAATGCCCCGGTTCAAGGCCTGCCAAGGGAGAGAGAAATACCCAGAGCATTAGAAAGGGGGAAACCACAGAAAAGTAAGCATGACACTCAGCAGATCCTAGCTGGGCAATATCAAGGCCAGCCTGAGCTACATAGTGAGACCCTATCCCAACAAACAAACCAATACCTCTAACCTATCACATCTGCATCTGCATAATGGAAACACATTCTGGAGGTGCAGCAAGTGGTTTATATCAATGGGTGACATTTTTTTTAAGTAGGCATGCACGCGTGTGTGCATGTTGTGTGTGTGTGTGTATGTGTGTGTGTGTGTGTGCGCGCTCGTGCATATGCATGCATGCCTGCTCACATGTGCACCAGTAAACGTCTGTGATGTTCTATATAGGGATCCTCACAGCACAGAGTCCTCTTTTACGAGAAAGAATTTTATGCTATCAGTGGATGGTGACTATAACTTGCAATACAATCCTGAGCTCTGGATAGACAAATACAGAGGAAAAGAACACCTTTAGACAGAACACATGGCTTATTATCTTATATTTGTGCAGGGCAGTAAATGTCCCTGTACAAGCTAGACAGGCATTCTACGACGGAGCCACATCCCTAGTCTCAAATGGCAGGTATCCATCATCACAGAGTCAGATTAAAAAAAAAATGACACCATAATACCTTTGCCCGCCACGTCAGTACTCCAATAGGGCCTCAGTGATAGCTACAAAACCCATTATATCTCTGCGGATTAACTTAAAAAAGATATATTTTTCTGGTCTCCTCTGCCTCTCACTTTCCTCTGTCTCCTATTTTTATTTTTATCATCTTTAGGTAGTGCTCTCATTTTTTTTTTTTTTTGGTGTGTGCTGGTATCAGTGTTTGAATGCAGAGACTCATACTCAGCGTTCTTGTTCACATGTGGCACTTTACCCCTTGAACCATACCTCTAGCCCAATGTTTTGACAATTAATTGGAAATGGAATCTCACACACTTTCTGCCTCAGCTTTTTGAATAGCTAGGACGACAGACACGAGGTACCAGAATCTGGCTGCAATCATTTTTTTTAAATTAAGCAAATAGTGGCTTATAATTTTCTTTACAATGACTGTTATACTTGTCACATTCCTTGGTATGAATATACACAACACTGTGGGTGCTTGAAAGGGTGGATACAATAAATTCAAGAATAAATCTTCAAATACACAGAATGAAGAGCTGTAACTCATACTGTATCACAATGAAAGATACCCAAGTAATTATGTTTCATCGACTCTAATATACTGTATCAGTTGTAAGATAGACTATTAGTTTATCTGCCACTAAGAAGGTAAAAAAATACCTCCAGTTAAAATTGGATGTACTTTGTTCCTAAACTGTATCTACATTGCAGATATGGTAACACAGAGGGAAAGTGTGACTCAGAACTGAGAGAGGAGTTCCACTGATCATGGGCTCTCATTCCAAAGGCTGGTTCAGGATGCCATCTCTAATACAATTCACTGGCAGTCTGCTCAGCACAGGCACAGGAGTCATACTGGCCAGGAACACTCCCGGCTTTCAAATTCTTCACTTGTACTTAGTTTCATTCCCTTCCTACAACACAACACTGACAAATACAGTAAATCTTTAATATAGTCAAACATTCTTACAAAACACTGTGGGGGGGAGTATTTGTACAGGAAAATACCACTCTAACGGCAGTAGAAAAATCCAGAATAAAAGTGTATGATAGCAATTGGAATTTATTATCATTCTGACTACTGTATACCCTTTGATAATTCTTTCCAATAACATCTCAAATTCTTTGTTTCCTTTCTAGTAATAACTTGGAACTTGCCTTTTAAGGCAGCCTTCTAGCAATGTCTTTTTTTTTTTTTGTGATCCAAGCTGATCAAATACCCTAACTCCAAATCAAAATGAAAACCAAGGAACTCACTGATAATAAATCCTGCTGTTTAATAGATTTACCCAGGGAGAGGGTTCCTGTTACGCATCATGGCTGAACGCCTGATCATTGGTAGTTGGTGATGCTGGCTCCCATTCAGACTCCAGGTCTGGCAGTGCCCTCAGCCCCGGGAGCTACAGTCACAGCTGCCTGCTTTACAGCCAAGAACCCCCGGACACTCTGCAAGTGTGAACCACATCTGACTTCCCAGCATAGGAAGCCAAGGACTGGTGGACGCAGGGTATAAGTGGTCATAGGTAGGCCATTCTACAGCTCCTCCTCCAGAGTTCCCCACCAGGCCCAGGGAAGCAGTCTCCAGAGGGGATCAATCCTTGCTTAACTTTTCCCCAGAGTCTTAGCCCACAGGCTCCTCCTTTGCTCCCAACAGCCCTGGCTCCTTTCATCACAATGCATGAGATCCACACACAGGCTCTGCTTCCAGACAACAGAGCTAGGACAGCTTCAAATTACTCGTCTCACACACCAAGAATCTGTTCAGTTTGTTCTCTTTCCCATTCTCCCCGAAGTCTATGAGGGTGAATTGTTTACTTGTCTTTGGATTGCTTGAAAGTGAGTTCTAATTTAAATGGCATCTACTATTTAGCACACATTGCAAAAGCCCCTCAGAGTGCTGGTCACCTGGCTGCCTGGCAGAACTCTACTGTTGGCTAAAAAGACACGGGTGCTGCGGGGCAAGCACTGCAGAGCTTTCATCTCCACCAACAGTTTCTTGATGGGAGCCCTCACCCTGGCGAGGGCTGCCGCAGTGGGAAGCAGGAAGGCTCAGGTAATGATAGCTCTGTCTGCAGGACGGGGAGGGGAAGTTTCATTTAGCTCAACAATTATGGTAATTTGAGGACAGAGCACAGGGTGCCGAGGCGTGCAGACTTGGGCTGGAATCAGCTTCCACCACCCAACTGCGGAATGACCCCAGAGACTCATTTTCCCAGAAATAACCCAACAGATCAGAGCAGGGCTGTAGGCAAGTAGAGTATAGGCCATCGAGTTTTTCTCCCCTCCCCCCCCCAATTCCTTCCCTCCGCACCTTCTGTTTGTGCTGGTACTGGGGCTGGCACTCTTGCTGGACCTTTTCACTCCTGCCACTTAAGCCAGGCCTCAAATTCCATCTTCTCATTGGTTAGTCAGAGATAAGAATCTCCGAATCTCCAGGATTTGTCTGCGCTGGGCTGGCTTTGAACCGAGATTCTTAGATTGTAGTCTACTGAATAGCTAGATTATAGGCATGAGCCAGCCAGCACAACACAGGAAAGTTCACTATTTTCTATAAAAAAAAGTTTAGCATTCATACTAATTTTTTACATTTATTTTTATTGCTCTGAGAGTTACAGGAGTAAAATTGGTTGTGAGGCTTGAACTCTGGGCCTGGGTGCTGTCCCTGAGCTCTTTCACTCAAAGTTAGCACTCTACAACTTTGAGCCACAGTGCCACTTGCAGTTTTCTAGTGATTAATTGGAGATAATAACCTCATATGGGGGTGGAAGGAGGCTGGGAAGGGATGGGAAGGGGAAACAAAGGAGGATAAGAAATGTACTCATTATCTTGCCCATCTAATTGTAACCTCTCTGTACAGTATTTTCACAATTAAAAAAAAAAGAACCTCATAGACTCTCCTTCTGGGGCTGGCTTTGAACCACAATCCTCAGATCTCAGAATCCTGAGTAGCTAGGATTATAGGTGTAAGCCACCAGTGTCTGGCCATACTATTTTTTTTTTTACAAAAAATTTTTTTAATTATGAGATGTTATTGCTTATAGGATACAACTATTTGATGTTTGTAACAATCACATCTAATCATTATATGAAGGAAAAAAATCTATTCTGGCTTCTAAAATCTTTAAAATGCAAGAAAAAAATGTGTTAGAGTTGAGGACATGAACTACATGTTACTAGAAGTTTTGTGTTCCCACTGATACCAAGTATTTCTTCCAATTTGTCTCTTCTTAAGTTCATGACATTCTTCTGATACCAAAACAGTAACTCACTATGGCGTCTAGATAGACCTGTGGAGTTATCCAATACTTTGTCCTCCTTTTACTACCTCTAAGGTAATTTTATTCTCGTTTATGACTTCATTTGCACACTTAACTTTTTAACCTTCCCAGAACTTATGGAACAAAATGCATTTGGAAGAAACATTCTGTATAAACCATCTCCTGTCCATTTATTTGTGATGGTTTCTTACCAGTTATGAGGCTCTTCCGGGTCCTTTGGTCATGCATCACCTCTCTCTGTTTACTTCGGTCTTTCTCCCTAGCATGTTCACCACTTGAAGCATGATCTGACACTACCTGCTGCAGTGGGCATCAGTCCTACCTGGGTGTGAGCTCCAGGGGAGCTCAGCCCTGCATTTCACTGCTCTGTCCCCCAGACCCACAGCATGGCGGACATGAGAGATGCTGGACAGATGAAAGAATGAAGCAAACTATACACAAGCATTAGCTGCGACAGACATGGAGGAAATGAATGAGCCAACGGATTTACATAGACAAGGGGGCCCTGTGTGGAGGTGACAGTGGAGCTGACAGTCAAGGAACCTTCTAGATCCTTGAAGGAGGCAGCTGGAAGAGGAGCTGGAAGAATGCAGAGAAGGAATAGGAGGAGGCAGGAGGAGACGTGGAGAGGAGACAGGGCAGGCTTGGAAGAGCAGGTGATGCCAGGCTCATTCCCGATCAGGTGGACAGTATTATGTCTTGTGCTGAGACCAGCAAGCATTCATGAAAGGTCCTGGCAGAGGCAAGACAGGTACTCATGTCAGCATGAGATCTGTGGGAATGTAGACCAAGGCAAGGTGTTGGCATGGGCAAGGTGGGGGACAGAAGTAGAGTGACTGGAGAATGTTCTGGAAGCAGCCAGATCTAGAGATGGACTACATGATGGGTGTGAGGAAAAGAGAAGTCTAGAATGACTGTTGAATTTTTTGGCTTGAGTCCCAAGGGGAAGAGTGATATTACCGAGATGGGTGTGAGGGGGAGGGGAGGTTTGAGATGTAGGTTAGAATTCCGAATAGAGCCAGGTGCTGGCTCACACTTGTAATCCTATATACTCAGGAGGCTGAGACTCACAGGGGAAGCCAGCCTGGGCAGAAAAATCTGTGAGACTCTCATGTGCAATTAACCACTGGAAAACCAGAAGTGGAGCTGTGACTCACATGGCAGAGCGCTACTACCCTTGAGCAGAAAAGCTCAAGGGCAGTGCCTAGCCCCACTGCCAACCAACCAAAAAAAAAAAGAATTGCAAATAGAGAAGCAAGCAAGAGCTGGTCTAGAGAGTAGGGAGCAGTTAAAAAGCCAGAGGACTGCATGGGAGCATCCAAGGATATAGACAGAGGGGGAAGAGAGCCCCACACATGTCCGGGAGTGCTTGCCTTTGGTGCCACGCTGGCATGTGACTCCTATCATCCAGTGGTGAGCTGCATGTTTCTAGCAATGCAGCGCTCAGCCAAAGACCGGGAGCATGGAAGCTGTCCTGGCCAGCGAGGAAGACCAGTCAAAGCCTTGAAAGCCAGCGCAAAGAGCATCTAGATTCTCTGCAGAGTGAATGAGGGCTTCGGGATGAATCTGGCCCAATATGTTCCTAAGCGATGAGACTACCGGCTGCTTACAGGCATGTCCCTAAATCCCCCCCAGTTTCCCAGACAAAGACGCTCTGCTTCACATCACGGCCACACCTAAACAGTGCTCTGGCCCCTGTAAGTACGAGGCTGCCTCTTCACCACAGCCAGTTCACGTCCCAAGGGGATGACCTAGATCTTCCCATGCTTCAGACCCCAGTGCAGGTGGCTTGTAGACACGTGGACGTCTGACTTCAAAGTACACCTGCTTCCAGCCAGCTCTGGGTTCATATCTTCTATCTCTTGGTGTGTTCTAGGGTCATGGTGTTCTGATGTGTGTGTTCTTTCTTTTTCTTTTCTTTTTAAAAAAAATATTTTCTGTTTTTCCACAGTTAAGTTGCAAAACCACAGGATATTAAGAAATATTAAAAAAAAAAAAGTCCCAGGAAATGGCTACCAAATCCCACAGGTATGAACAGATCTTTCTGGCATGAAACTGTCCAGATCAGTAAATACTAAAAGATTTCCTGACATGTTAAATTTGGAGTCTGGAGACCAGAAAAATCCCAGTGCTACTGACTGAGATGCATCAGGGCAAGTGACTGTTTCCCCCCAACCCTGCCTCTCCTTCCATATTGATGGTGGCATAAGCAGCTTTGCAGAGGTGGGGAGGAAGGTGAGGGGAACCTTCCTGCCTTTCTTCCTTCCAGTTTCTCTCCTGGCTAGGAAGCCTGGGAGCCCTGAAAGTGTAGAAAGCTTATTTTTGTGGGCTCAGTACAAAGATTGAGTCCATGAGCCACAAGCACGGCTATGGCAACAGAGCGGGGTCCATTAGTCTGACTCCCCTGGCCTCTGGTCGACACTGTTGCTTTCCATCCTGCCTGTGGTTTCAGCTGTGGTTTACGTGGCCTGTGTGAGCACCCAGAGGTCCTGCGCAAATACGCATGCAGTGTCCTGCCTGACCACACTCCTCACGTACCGCTGTCCCCCGCAGGGTGACCCTGCACAGTCTCTGGGGTGGGAGAAGCCCTTGAGGGGCTCAAGCTTCTGGACAGGAGAAGAGGAAGGTAGGAGAAAGGAAAGAGCGCTGCAGCTGCTCTCTGCTTCCCATCCTGAGGGTGCTGCTGCGATCGCTTCTTTACTGCTCTCCCAGAAGCTCCCTGTGTCTCTGAGACTCCTGCCATCTAGCCACCTCCCATCCCATCCTATCTCCCCGACAGGATCCCTGTGGAATTCCAAATAGAAGAGTCAACCCTTTGGGTCAACCTGACCCATATCTCTTCCCAGTTCCTTGACCTCCTCCACGTCAGTGACCTTCTCTACCCAGGCTCCAGCCTCAACTTTGTTGTTCATCTCTTTCAAATCGCAATGGAAGCCCAGTGGGTACAGTTGGGGTAGGACTGGATACAGTCTTCTGCCACACCAGATGTTCCTCCCACTGCATCCACTCTTAAAGTCACTGACTTTCAAATCATGCCTGAAATCTCCAACCTAAGGTTCACTCGTTACAGACCAGTGCTGCTCTCATCTGTAGACTTCTCCTGGGCCTTTGACAGAGTCACAAATATAACATGGTGTGCAGCTACTCCACGGGCTCACCGCTGCCCTGCCAGCCACCTCCTCTCTCCTATCCCCTTCTCTCAGGATTTCTGGGCCACCTAGTTCCCTCTAACTCAGCAGAGAGCTTCACCTCCTACTTCATTTCTAACAAGGAATCCAAGGTAGAGGCTGGATTTCTCAATAAAGTCTGTCTTAGGCAGGCATAGGAGTGCATGCCCATCACCTTGGAACTCACAAGATTATGAGTCGGAGCCCAGCTGAGGTTGTGTAGTATTCAGCCTGGACTATCCAGTGAGACGTTTCTAAAACCAACCAACGAACCCAAATCCATCCCAAGCCCTCCTTAACAGAAAGGCCCGTCTGACCACGAGCCCTGGACTATCCATCTGAGGCTCGGCAAAGAGCCTTGCTCAGTTCTACCATTTTCCTCTCTTTGCTACTTGACTGCCACCTTCCTGTTGATACTGATCCACCTCCTCCATCTCGAAAGGATTTTGTCTCTGGACTCCATACTTCCTCACCAGCAGCTTCTTTCTCGCCTTCCCTGACCTCCAGGCCCCACGGCTGTCCTTTCCAGGTGAGCTGTAGTCACTGTCCACTCAGCCGCCCAGCTCACCATCTACTATTCCTTGAGGTAGGGACTGGACTGGCTTGCCACCAGTTTTCCTGAATCTACTGAGGACCATGAATACTCAACACAGGATAGGAACAAAATGCACACATTAACTGTGGCTTATAACTTTAAAATCCTCTGTTGGTTTGGTCTTCTGGGTAAGAAAAAAAAATTTTTTTAGAAGCGTCTATGGACTTAAACTGTTATCAAAATGGTAACCGTATGCAATTTAAGCAAATAATTTTTTCTCTTTTTTTCTACTTCCTTTGGGTGGCAATTGGAATATTGGACAAATTGTTCTTAAGAAGTCAAGTCCTGTAGCAGAAGTTAGCTGCTTAGATTCAAAGGATAAGGCAGTCATTTCTGACCAGACCCTGGATAAACTAAAAGAACTCTGACAGGGCTGAGTCTGGGGCTGGGCTGAGTCTGGGGCTGGTAGAGCACTTACTTAGCATAGCGTACTTGAGGCCCTGGGTTCAAACACTGCAGAACAGACAGGCAAAAAAAAAAAAAAGATGGTGAGTGTATCACTGACCAGACCACAGTGCCAGGCTCCACATTCTTTTTTTTTTTTTTTT